CTTGAGCATACCGAAGAGCACCGACCCTGGAGAACCGAGCGTGAAGGGCCAACATCCCACCACCCACTCTGCTGATAGCGTCGATCAGAGCGGTACGCTCGTCCAGAGCTCTTTTTTCAAAAGCCATCCGAGCAGACTGTTCATCAGCTAGAAGGCGCTGGAGTTCTGCCTTCTCTTCTCTGATTGATTCCCGCTCAGTCTGCCAGACGCTCTTCTCAAGCTGGAGGGCGTCCTTCTCATCCTGAAGGGAGTCATTCTCCTTCTTCAGGACATCTCTCTCTTGCTCGGCTTTGTCAAGCCGAACCAGCACCTCGGTATTCTTCATGGCAAGGAGGTCGTTTTCTTTATTAGCCACCTCCAGGCTGTCAGAATACTTTCGGGCCCTGGCGTTCCCCATCTCCACCTGCTTCTGCATGGCCATCATCCCGAACAACGTCTGCATAGGTGCACATTAAAAACGGTTAAACCAATAGTCAGAACGGGCGAAGGCAGGACCAAGTAATATGAGAGAATTCATGAGTTAGAAAATAAAAGTCACCTCCATAGCAGATTGGGGAAAGCGACTGAACACGTCCTTCTGGGAAAGACCCTTTACCGCCTCAAGGTCCTTCGGAGTCCACATGCTCCTGTAGTAGGCCATAGCGGTCTGGCCATCCTTCAGCATGGTCTCGTTCGGTTTCACGAACGTCCCGTCCGTTCGGGTGTACCGAGGGGCCCATGGCGGTAAGCTGGGGATAGAAGGGGGGCCGGAAGCAGAAGCAGAACCACCAGCTGCGGGAGGCCCAGAGGGAGAAGGAGCTCTGATCGCTCGGTGCAAGAGAGTACCCGGCCCAGAGACCCGGGTCCTTCTAATGAGAGGCTCCTCCTCCGGATCGATTTCACTGTCAGGATGAGGCCTTTTGCCTCGCTCTTTGTCCCGACCGCCCCCCGCAGCAGCAGGAGCTATGGTAGCTGGGGAGGGCGCGTTCTGGTTGGCAGCAGGGGCGCTGGCAACAGGGTTAGTAGCCACTGCGCTCGGGACAGTGTCAGATATGGTGGCTGAAGAAGAAGCCGACGCTGGAGAGGAGGTCGCCCCAGCAGCAGGAGTGGCTGGGGGAGTATTTTTCCTCCTGCCAAAAGAGGGAATCTGCAGTCTGCTCATATTGTAGCCGAGTGATGAGAGCGTAAAGAGGTTGTCTGAAGTGAGGAGATCTGAGCAGGAAGGAATATCGTTCAGAACGTATCTCTTCAAGTAGTTACTCCTATCCCTGCAAACACTATAGCTCAAGTCATCACAAGGTATTCCCAAGGAGCGGCATAAGTAAGTGCAAAAACGAGGAACGCATGTTTCACAGGGGCAGTCATGTTTATGGGATTTGAATTTTTTATAGGAGGAGACAGAGCAGACACCAAAGGCGCTCGGGATTGGGTAATCCTCTGCAGCCGGCGAAGACCAAGCCCCACTAATGCCCACTATGCTATCCCTCCAACCCTTTTCAGATTTTATTGTGTCAGTGCATATGGACATCTTCTCGAACGGGTAGAGGTGGTAGAAGGGCTCGTTAGTACGGATCTTACTGACCTTATAGCACAGAAGGAGGTCTATGAGGTCAAGGTCCAGATTTCTGTCACGCATCAATAAGAGCATAACAGATATGATCCTAAAGAAGTTGGGGTTGACCTGCAGAGGGGATATCCCCAATCTATTGAAGACATAACTAAAGAAAGGGTGCAGAGGGAACCTAACAACATTCAATTGAAGGTTCGTGAATAAGACTTCGCCGGGCAGGAGGCCGGCGCCGGTCGTAATATTAACGTCTTGGGGGCAAACCCTAACTTCGATGTTGTCAGGAAGTCTAAGTCTCATACGAAGAACACCCAGATCTACAACCATGGTGGAAGTGCTAGAAGAATCTAAAAGAGGGAAAATGGAAGCCTGCCGAAAGTAAAAAGAACGAAACTAACCTCGGAGGACTGCAAGATCGCTAGGAGAATGACTCTCGAAGGATTTCACCGGAAAAGGCTTAGCACAGTTCTAGAAAGAGGGAGACTTGGCTGATGATGGAGACGGTAAAGGGAAGTGAAGTGGAATTCTAGAGCATTATAAAGGCAAGGGGGCCCGAGGGCCGAAGCGTCGGGAAGGCAAGAAATCCCTCGAGCCCCGGAACATTGATTCTGGATCTGACCGTTCGCTCCCCCACGTGGTTATCTCGAGCCGTCAGCGTCATGATGAGACGCCATCAATAATTACCCCTTATTAAATAAGGGGCAATTATGGGGGCAGTTGAGGAGGCCCCGGATGACATGGGCCAGGTCCGACTCGCAAAACACAACCTTCAGTCCGAACAGCTGGGTCAGCCCATAGAAAGACACTGCCATATGGGCCGAGCGGGAGTAAGCCCATCAAGGGTGACCAGGGCTTACAGAGGAATAGGCCCAGGTCCAGCAATTAGTAAATATCTTGTAAATATCTTGTAAATATCTTGTAAGTATCTATAAATAGGAGTTGGAATGAAGAGGAGAGGGATCTTTTTGGGGGTGGAGGTGTAAGAATTCTAGAGAGAGAAAGAATAGTAGGAGTTTCTTGCATCTTCAGGTGCATTTCATCCAAAATGCTATATTTTAATAATTATGTTCCAATTGTGCTAGCACTTTAACCATTATTTTTTCCAATGCATTATTCTTACTTTTTCATGTGACTTTTCAGCCCATGTCTTAGACAAAAATCCAAAAAAAAGCTGAGCATATGAAGTTCACAACTTATAGCAACATGCAATATATGAGAAATTTTGAGAATCTCGTATTTTGAGAGGTTGTATAGCACACCATTGGAGTGTATCAGAAAACAAATTCTTTTATATTTTGAGTTTGAGAGGACATTTGAGAGAGCATTGACGCACTTACAACCTTTTAGACGTATTTTTCATAGTATTTTTATTTTGTTTTTGTTTTCAGAACATATTTATGGCTGGAACAGACACTAGTGCTGCCACTTTGGTTTGGGCGATGACAGGGCTAATGAAACATCCTAGAGCTATGAAGAGAGTGCAAGAAGAAATTAGAAATGCAAGTGTAGAGAAAGGCATGGTTAAAGAAGATGATCTTCATAAACTACCTTTTCTGAAGGCAGTGGTGAAGGAGACACTGAGACTGCACCCTCCATCTCCATTGCTGCTTCCACACGAAACAACGAAAAAATGCAACATAAATGGGTATGAGATTCCACCCAAAACTTGTGTCTACGTGAACGTGTGGGCCGTTGGAAGAGATCCTGAATCTTGGGAAAATCCAGAAGAATTCTTGCCTGAGAGATTCATGGATAGTTGTATTGGCTACAAGGGACAATATTTCGAATTCATTCCATTTGGTGCGGGTCGAAGAGGTTGCCCCTGGATTTATCTCGGAGCTCTGACTGTGGAGCTTGCACTCGCTAATCTGCTCAACTCTTTTGATTGGGAACTACCTCCTGGTATGAAGAAGGAAAACATTGACATGGATGCTTTACCTGGTATTACTATGCATAAGAAAAATGCACTTTGCCTTCTGGCAAAGAAATCATGGGCATGTATATGAATGAATGATATATGCAAATTAACAATCGTGCTCGCATGTTGCAGTACGGGTTTTGTACCACAGAGGATCCGTAGTGCAGATGGTTTAATTATATATCTTATGTTACAGAATGAGAGACTGTGTAGGTGAATTTAAGTAGTTGTGAAAAATTATGAAATATTGTGTTTAGATAAGTTATGTAAGGAGTATTTTGTTTCAGTTGCATTTTGACTATCGTTATTCTCTTCAAAATTCAGTACTGTGAACTCCAAAGATTGAGCTGTTCCACACCTTTGAACCATGGTTTTACCATTTGAAAATTTTGTTTCCCTTGTAGAAGAGGTTCAATTTAATTTCAAATGATCAGACTTATAAAATAAATAAGTTTGTATAATGGCCCCTCTAAAACTCTCAGTTGCTATCTTTTTTTTTTTTTTTTTTTTTAATAATTCTTTTAATTTTCTTTATAAAAAAATATATATATTTTTCCTTCATCAATAGAACTCTAATTTTTTTTTTTTTTTTCCTTCAAAGTTTGTCAAATATTTATATTTCTTATACTATTCGTTGATTAGCATATTATTGTGCAATAAATTTTTTCTTGTTTTTTAGTTTTTTTTAATCAATTATTAGTTTCATTTTTAAATTTGTGCAAAACATGGAGCCCCAAATCCCAAGCCGAGGAAGGATAATTTGATAATTTTAGTTTGAGAAAAAGTTTTCTTCACGTGTTCAAGAGGAGTACCTTTTCAGATTGCCATCTCTGTCATACTGAACCCAATTCGTCGAAGCTACACAGAAGAGTTCTAGCTGTTGATTTATTAATATGAGACATATTTAGTTCCGGTTGTTTGTTTTTTAACTAAACATTTTTTCTAAATATTAAAATTGGACAATGACCTATTAGCATACTCAATCCAACAAATCGTGTTTTCAATTACCTATTTCTAACGTTATCAGGTCAAGTTAGTGTACTCAACCAAACAAATTTTGTGAGAGTCATCAGTCATGTTAGCAGACTCAATCCAAAAATATATATATACTTTTTTTCTAATTTAAATTGAATAAATAATCTACTACAATTTGCTAGCATTTTAGTTCGTGCACTTTTTCCAATTATTAAAATTCAACAGTGGCTTAGTTTCTAACATTTTAGGCCATGTTAGCATACTAAACCCAACAAATCACTTTTTCTGATTATTAAGATTTATCAGTGGGTTAGGTTATACTTAATTTATAACTATGGAAATAGACTTCTATTTTCATAAAATTAAAAATAAAAAATAGTACAAAAAAATTCATCTGCTTTGTTGAATTTTTTAAAAATTCAATTATAAAAATATATGTTTTTATAAAATTATAAAAAATTCTTTTCTCAGAATAATTTTTTATTTTTAATTTTTTTTAGAACTGCTGTAAGAATAACAAACCAAGCTAACCTTTTAAATACAATAGGATACTAAACCCAACAAATCACCTCTTTCAATTATTGACCTGCAACAAATCAAGTACTATAATTCTTATTCTTATTTTCAAAAAAAGAAAATAGTAACCTCATATCGCATTACCCCATTTTTCTATGAGCCAAAAAACCTTGAACCCTTGCACTCTCTCTATCTCACCTAAACCCTTCGAAGTTTGAATTAAGGAAGCACTGACCAATTTTGTTTCTCAACATGCGTATTCCTCATCGCAGCCCTCTCCACAAACTCTTCAATTCAGAACAATTTCTCAAATCCACACCTTTCACAGCACTACCAAAAACCCCATCTTCACCCACCCATAGAATCCCCTTTTCTGCTCTCCCTTCAAAACCCATCTCCAGAATTCACCCTTTGGATCTCAGAACTTCTTGGACTCCATATGCCTCTTATATCAGTGTTCCTCCATCAGGTATTTCCCTTTACACCAACGTTTTCATGTATTGTGTGCATATCTGTGTTAGGGCTTATACATAACACTGTTTTTTATTTTCATTATTTTCTGAAGTGCACTCGGACAACCCACGCGATTCTGTTCAAATGGGGGTTATGAGGCGGAAGCTGAAGAAGTTTAGATTTGATAATGATTTTTGTAAACCTGGGCAGCATCGCTTAATTTGTCCTCAGGTATGTAATTTGCATACTTTTAGTAAATTGTGTTATTTTGGTCATATCTATGTAAAATCTTTAATGCAATATCAATTTTAAAAACAATTTTTTTTTTTTTAAAAAAAATATATCAATATTTGTTTTCATATGATGGGTAATGTGTGACCCATGTCATAGTAAATTTCAGAGCTTTAAGGGTTGGTATGGTTAGTACAATATTGGATGTGTATAAAAAGAAAATGATATATAAAAATGTGGAGAAGTTGGGTAACCCACAATCCACTTCCATCTGAACTCTTTCTATGTGACAAATAATTTTGTTCCACTTGTGCAGAGTATCTGATGACTTTCCCTCAATACTTGGTTGTATTTCAGCCGCTAAAATCTTTAGACATTTTTGCTTACGTGGCTCATTTTCTGAGTTTGACACGGCTTATGCTTTACTATTGTCTTATTGCAAAAGGGTGCTGCTTCTGCATCCCAGGTAGTAAGAGATGTTGTTACAAAATAATGGAAATCTATAATCATCTAAAAATTGATTTTCTAAAAGTGAAGTTCAATCTAAATGAGTGTAGATTTTTTTATTGCATAACTAACTTATCAAGAAAAAAATTAACTATAACTTGGGTCAGTTTCATTCATAGTTTTCCAAGTGCAAGCATGAGCGAGGCCTTCTACTTTATAAGTAATGGGTTGTTTCTAGGCACTGAGGTGTAAACTTTGTGAAACTTGAATTTGTAAATGTGAGAAATATAAATAATTATAACACAGAGTCAGAGACCAAGTAATATCTTTTGTTCTTTTCTTTTTGGTGATAAAATGCACAGTCACTTCTGTGATATCCCTCGATTCTAGAGCCACGGGTGCTCAAGTCCGAGCACAGATCCGAGGGATATTAGACAATTAATACTTAAATAAACACAGATTACAAAAAGAATTAAGAAATAAATAATAAAGGCTGGAAGAAATCTAAAATATAAATCCTTAAGATTAAATAATTTAAATCCAATAATCCAAAACCTCCAATAACTAAATAACTCGGGAATCCATCAAGTGGACCCCTAATCAAAATCCAACTGAGAAATTGAACTAAAGAAGGAATCCAAAACTAAAGCATAAACATAAACAGCAGGCCTACGTAATCGGAAGAATGAGTAACTGTCTCTGCTCAGCACGAACAAACTCTAAGGCTGGATCCGTCCGATACCTGAAAAGAATAATAGTGGGTCAGGCCCACGAACAAGTTATACTCTAACTACAGTTCAAATAGAGACCCGATACGCAGATACATCCTAGATAACTCAACAATAACTATCTAGTCCATAAATATATATATCCACACTAAAGGACTCTCAATGGACTACAAGGCGATCTCAACCTGACTAGTAGGCAACATGCAAAACGCACCTGAAGTGGGCATGAGTACCTAGACCTAACAGGGTACATCCCTACCATCATAGCCAGTTATGCATCCCAATGCATATACGCTCCCTAACCAACGATCCTGATACTCAAGTCCATATCGTGGTACCATGAATATATATTTAAAGTCCATCCACATCCAAAGTAGTGTCGCTCAACTATTCGTTGTCTTGACACGACATATAAGTAGGATTTAACTTTATAGTTAATCCATTCCCTTATTTCAGAGTAGGTAGGACTTAGTATTTTGAATTAATCCGTCCCTAGTATGCCACTATCTCATACCGGTGCATACAATCCACAAAATCCATATAATTGACAAAACAGGAATAACAGTTCATCAATCATACTCCAAAATAAGTATAAATAAAGTCTAATATGTATATGACCATTTTATGCATCCAATACAAGATTTAAAAATCATGTTCCAGTCATTTAAGTTGCTAACATAAAACTAAGCAATTAAATCATTTATATCCGTTAATAGTATGCAAAAATTATTTAAACTTTCATACTGTTCAATTCATTAGCATATAGATATTAATTATGCCATATGGGGTTTTAATACAACATGAAATAATATTTAGAATCCTCAATATTAACCCAAAACAATTCGGGAACCCCAAAAATATCAAAACCGTGCTTTAAAATCAGTTCCAGTATGCATTTAGGCATGAGAGCAAGCTCTCAAAAGTTGAGAGCCAGCTCTGTACCAATGAGACCCCTAGCCTTAGAGCCGACTCTGTGCCTTAGGGAGCCGGCTCCCTAAAACCATGGAGCCGGCTCTCTCCTCACAAAGAGCCCTGGCCAAAAAAAAAAAAATTAGGGAGCCAGCTCCATCCCCTTGGGAGCCGGCTCTGCCCTTGCTTCCTGTCATTGTCTTCGTCTCCGATGATGTTAAAATCCCTCTGAAATCTTTAGTTTAAGTTCCTAGAGGTCCGACTAAGTCCCAAATCATCCAAAAAAATCATATAAACCCAGTATGCATCGCTACAAGAATTTAAAACAGAATATGAAACAATTTGAACGACAAATCAATTTCACTTAATCAACACATAATATGGTTTAAAGTCTGAATTAATATGCATACAATATCAGTTTTTAAAGTCCGATTGAATTCTGGAGATTATTTAGGCATGCACAGAACACAGGTCAAAGGGAAAGAGTAAGAAATAGAACTTGCCTCTGATTTCAGTTTTGAAACTTTAACGTCGTCTTCCTAAATTTTTCGGCAAATCCAAGACTGTTCTGAACTCCTTTATTGCTCCTGGTTCAACCCACAAGCAAGCTTCCAATATCCTTCCTCGGTTCAGTCCTTGTTCTTGGCCAAACCCTAACTCGTTCTCTCTGTTTTCTCTCAAACCTCACTGTTCGTGAATAGGGTTTGTGTTTTAAACCCTAAGCAGACATAATGCGATATATATATATATAGGCAAAAATAGTTTTAATCTAATTCTATTCATGTGAGGAGTCGGCAAAGAAAACACAGAAATAAAATATAAAATACGTATATGTATAAAAGTCGACAATTTTTAATGGATATTTTTAAAACCCTAAAACTTTGTATTACATATATAAAAATAATGATACTAATTTAATTATTAACAATTAATAATAATTAACCTAACCCAATATACATGTATATCCATTCATGGGTAAAAACTATACCCATTTACACTATCCAAATAGTCCGTTGATCCTATCCAAGCCCAACTCCGTTTAAAATAAAAATAATACATTTAATTTAACATTCAATTTCCACATAAGCATATAATTCAATTAAACCAAATAAATCAAGTTAAACAAATAATTATATTCAACATAATCAATTTAAAACAATTAAACAATAAATCAATTAGACAATTAACCAATTAACAAATAGCCAAGTAATCAAATAAAGAATTTAAAATTGCAATTAAAACCATAAAAGAAAAATACCGAGACTATTCTTTTAAAATTAGGGGTATTACAGCTTCCCTACCGAAACATGATTGCTATGACTTCCCTTTTGGGTGTGGTAGGAGATACTACTTAAGCAAACAACTGGTGGTTAGAGCCAAGGTCAAAGGTGATAGCATAAAAGACGAACTCATTTAAGCATTTTGTTTTTTGGGATAAAATTAAAACCCTGGTTTTCCAATCCAAAATATGTATTTAGGTTTTTTTTCCCTTGTTTCCATAGTGCAAAGGTGGGGACTCTAGCAAGAAGAGCTTAACACTTTTCATTCTTCCAGATTGGTAAGCCTCCCTATTTTTTTTCTCTCATTACTTGTCCTTATGCCGGTAATATCTATTCTGATCCTTTCAATATGTGTAGGAGTTCAGCAGTTTGGAATTGTTTTCGGGCAAATTGTGGATTGAAGGGCAGTACACAGGTAACTTTTTGTTTTCTTTTAGTTTTCATTCATACTCTATTTTATTTGAGATTCCCCTTTTGAAGTGTGGCTCTTTGGTTTCAGGCCTATGCAGATACTAAGTCAGGAAGCATGATTCGGAGCCCAAAAGTTAAGCACGAGAGAGAAATTACAGAAGAGAGTTTGGAGTTGGAACCGCTCTGTGATTCGGTACTCGGTAGTTAATTTAGATTTTTTGTATACCCTTTTACTTCTTGTTAAATTTGCTTTCTTAAATGCTCTTAAGCACTTTGCCCTCTTAACTCTCATTTATCATACATAATAATTTTTGGAAGAGTATATTGCTCCAATGGTGTGTTGTGTATGATACATCAATTCAATGTTTAACAAGATTTGGATCTCCATATTATAGTCTTCGTAGATTACTTGAAAAAAGTGGTGTTGATAGGATAATAACATATTGAAACTCGAAACTTCAAACCAAATTGTGAATCTTGCTCACTTTGATTCCTTTAATTCAAATCTAAAAATCTATTTAAGAAGGATACAATTGCTGAGTTGTTTCTAATATACACATCGCAATAGGCATAAAACGGTAAAATCTCATGCACCAAAAATTTCAGTTTGCAACAGTGGTTTTTTATTTTTTATTTTTATTTTTTTCACAGTAACCAACAATTTATCTTTTGTCGCAGAAACCAACAAATTAATAAGTCTCATCAATCCACATCAAGCTGTCATATGTGTGTCAAGTACAAAAAAAATTTGAGATCGTGCATTGTAATACCTCACACTGTATAATTTGAGATCATGCATCTATAATTCTATATTCACGTTTATACGTAGCTGTTGTCATCAAAGTTTATTTCTCTCTTCTTACTGGACATGAAAAAATTGTGATTATTGAAAGCTCAGCATGTTCTGTTTTACATTGTGATATCTGACCAATTTATACAATGAATTTAATAATGCGCCAGGTCCATATTATTGCACCACCTGCAGTTTGACTGCAAATCCTCCCGTCTATAATACATTGTGGGGTCCCTTAGAGCACATGAACATGTGCCTTCTTGAGATTGAAGCTTACTTATAACAATGAATTTGTCTGATTCTCAAAGTCGCATGTTCGTTTGTTTAAGTATCAGATCCAAAATCTGCCTACCTCCAAAGGAAACATTTAAGGAATCTGATACCACTCTATTTACCACCTTCAAAATGATATGACCAATTATTTCAACTGGTGCAGAGGCCATTACCCAGTTGATACGGTTTCAAAGATTGTGTTAATGTGTTGTATCTTGGATAATTATCTAATGGGTGTAGAACCTAATGAAAGATTGATTGAAGAAGTTGATCCAGACCTCATGAACATTGATATACATATTGACGAGGAGAGAGAGACAATTACTAATGATGATGAGGCTAAGTGTGGATCAATTGTAAGGAATGCCATCGCAGCTAACATGTGGGAGGGCTACGAACCATATTGTTTCTTTTTCCTTTTTCTATTTGCATCAGTATTTTCTTGTCTTTTTACCGAATAATTATGACATTCTATTTGTTATTACTATGTTTTATTATGTTAGATGCATATTTCACATTAAAATTTCTGCCTTTATATTTGTACTTTTTTTTTTTATTGAAATGTGTGTGACGATATTAAAAATATATTGTTATATGATATTAAAAAATTACAGGTTGTGGAAATGAAGAAATCAAATAAGGATGTGAATGTGAATGAAATTAAGAGAAGAGAATGGTCTGAAGAAATGGATGACATACTACTTGATGCACTACTGGAGCAACAAGAAAATGGGAATAGAGTTGATGGAACTTTAGCATCTCCTGTTGCAAATTCAAATGTTGTGAAGATATGCTCTCAAAAACTTGGCTATCCGGTCGATAAACATGACGTGAAAAATCGTATGATAACATTGAAAATGAATTTTAACACGTGTTTCAAATTATTCAAAAATTTAAGTGGGATATCATGGAGTCCAGAAACAAAATTGTTTGAGGCTGAACCAGAAGTATGGAAGGCCCTCGTAGAGGTATGCATTTTATTAGACTTTTATTTTAATTATTTTATTTTTAGTTCATTTAATCCTTGTATATATGTGTGTGTGTGTGTGTGTGTATATTTGAATGATGCATAATATATGTTTCTTGCTTTTTTCTAGGCCAAACCATCAGCTTCAAAATGGAGGCACACCAAAATAAACAATTATGGTAAGTTGTATGAACTTTTTGCAAAAGATAGAGCTAATGATCAAGGGTTTGTATGTGCAAACGAAAAAGTTTGCACATGGGCAACGGATAATGGTACCTCAACTGATAGTAATTTGGACAACTATGAGTCAAATTCAGATTGTGGGGAGTCTTCAAAGGGTACAAAAAGAAAGGGTCTAATGGTTGGTTTATTTGGGAAAGAAATTGAAGTAATTGGATCTGGAATTAACAAAGTAGCCGAGACAATTGAAAAAAGAAATCTTGTCGCTGAGAGGGGACTCGAAATTGCAGCAAAGATAGTTGCAATAGCTGAGAAAGCACGAGCTGATTATCATTCAGACGAAGAAGTATTTGCGGAACTGGTAAACATTGGAGTTCCTGATTGTATTCAGTTGGATGCATTTTTGTTCCTTCTCAAATGTTCCCAGCACAAAAGCGCATTTTTTGGTGTTCCATCTGAGCGGCGTCTGGAATTGCTATATAAGATGATGTATGGAGAAAATGACTCCTGAAGAGTCACTAATTATTTGTTTTCCTAGTCATTATTCTCATGAAGTCTTCTCTATTTTTCTGTTGCGCTATATTTTTATTATTCTCATATATTTTATATTGTTTGCTCCAGGAACACCTCTAACTGATCAATCTCTCTTCCCAATCCCATTCACAGTGGCAGAGCAAAACAAAATGTGTTATCTTGGCGCCATTTTTCTTCAAAATAGAGTTTGATTCCACACCCGAAGATCCTTGCGCGTCTTTTGTTCTGGCCGCCCTTCATAGCTCCAACCTTTTGAGGCCAGAGTCATCATTATGTGAAGCAAGGTTGGTCGTGGAGTTCACCTGGAATACTTTTCTCCAACTGATATTTAACTCTTATTGTGTTGAAGGGAAGTCCTGCGAGGAAAAAATCCCAAGAAGAGTCAAGCAGGATACAATCCACCACCAGCAATCCCTCTTCCTCCGCGCGGTCTGCACTCCATGGAAGTTTGATCGCATCCCTGTCATTCCGCTAGTAATAGACTAGGAAAGGACTAATAGTTGGATCATACCTTACCAGTTGTATTCTGGTGAATAATGGAATCATTACACATAGTATGCCCGCCCCCATCAGCGTATCTTTTTGTTTTACACGCTCCGAAACTATATGGGTGTCTTCCCTTGCTCATGGGTGCACATGTAATTGTCGCAAATATGGTAGAGAATGCGAAGCGAGATCAATTAGTGGAGCAGGGGGGGAATCGTTCTGTCCAATGCTGAATTGACGACCTATGTATTATGTATAAAGAAGAATTAGAGGAGAGTGCTCCGGTGTTCCTGGAGCAAACAACATAAACAAAATGTGAGTGCTCCGGTGTTCCTGGAGCACAACACCTATTGGTAGTGAAGAGCAACAGTATATGCATAACTGCAGCGCTCCATGGCATATCAAAATGTGTGTTTTTTTTTTGTGAATGTAGGAAGGAGACTCTACTTGTATTGCAAGCAAGTGAACTTGATAAATCATAATCCGAGCATGAGTAAAAAATATTTGTACAGCTTGCTGGTTTGGAGATCTCAATGAAGTTGGATTCTGCCATGGCTTGTCAAATTGCTGCTGAGTGGTGGTTGGTTGCAGAGTTCAATTCTTAGGCAGAGATATGCGCTCTAAGTTGGCCTGTTTCTGTTATGACCAGTTGTGGTGTGTTTGGGTATTGTATGGTCATTTTTGGAGCTTCATCATCACTCCTTTTGTGAACTTAAATAACTAAAGAAGCTAGGGAAAAAATTGTGAATGATAATGGTATTAAAGAAAATAAGTTTACTAATTTTTTGCTTGAGAACAAGGATTAGAATGAAAAGAAGGGCAACTTTTTTTTTCCTTCTTACTACTCATGCACTCCTTTCAAAAAACTGTTTGCACCAAGACAAGTCCAAGTTGAGACTAGTTCTTTCTAGTTGCCCACTGGAGAAAAAAAGGCGAGCAATATTTTTTTTGTAACATTGGATCAGAGTGTACAAAATAAAAAATCAATTAAATAATTTGAAATGGACAGTTTGTCTATATTTCACTAATATAAAAATACAATTTTGACTATTCAACATGACTCAGCCTACTTAGCCCAATGACATAGTGGTGGTGTACTTTTCAAAGAGAGGGTTGGGTAGTCTTAGTGAGATAAATTATTTATTATAATTCTCGTAGCAATAATGTGGCGAAAGGAATACTTACAAACATTCTATTATGGAGGTGGTAATAAGAAAAATTGATAACATTTGTAATTTTTTTTTTTTATATTAAAAACAAAAACAACAATCCTTCTTAAAAATACATGCGGATAAATTCACATCTCACCCTGATCACATGATAAATTCTCATTTTATCTCTCTCAGGCACCCTGATATATATATATATAGAATTACATGAGTCGCGTGACTATTAAATATTCATATTATCCCCTCTGAAATTACCAAAAAATAAAATAAAATAAAATCTTAATATTGCACCCCTCCCCCTCATGCAATTTCCTGGGTCTATCCCTATCCGCAGGCCAGGCTAAAACCATTATGTCATTGTTTCTTTTTCTTTTGACTCTCAGTCTGCTCTTCTTTCTTCATAAATATATTACAGAAAGAAATATGGAGCATATCCTCTTCCTTGGGTCCTCCGGGACTTCCAATCATCGGTAACCTACACGAGCTTGCTAAATCAGCTCCACATAACTACATATGGCAACTTTCCAAGAAAATATGGCCCTCTCATGACCATCCAACTCGATTTCGTTCCAATTCTTGTGGTTTCTTCAGCCAAGATGGCTAAAGAGGTCCTGAAAACCAATGATGATGGGGTTGAATCAAACTAACGTATTTCACATACTAATTTATTTTTGTTTTCAGAATATATTTATGGCTGGAACATACACAAGGTCTGCTCTTCTTTCTTCATAAAATATATTACACGATTACTATCCACCAACAGAGTTGTATAATGCCCCCTCTAAAATTTTCGGTTGCTAAAATTCTCTTACTTTTTTCTTTCTTTTATCTCTTACTCTTCAATTTTCTTTATATAAAAATAAAAGTTTAATTTCCCTTCATCAATCAAACTATATTTTTTTCTTCAAAGGTCTCTCATTTTTTTTGCCCTTTTTTTTTATTTTTTATTTTTTATTTTTTTTTTACTTCCTAAAATTCTTCTTTTCGCAGTTATGTATGATGCATGTAGTATGTAACCTTTTTATCTCTTATAATTCTTTTTATTTCTTTTCTTATTATTTAAATTTATTATTGTATTTTTTTTCTAGTTTATTATTGTAATTTTATGAACTCAATTGGCCTGATTTCATGCATCGGTATCAAAATACAAGGTCTTACAACCAAATTCAATGGATATATTACCAATTAATATTTTGCTTCATATATTTGTCAGATATTTATCTTTGTTAATTCTACTACCATTGGTTATCATATTCTTTTGCAATGATATTTTTTCTTGTTTTTTTATCAATTACATTGTGCCCCTAAAATGAAATCCTGTATATATACTTGTATATATATTAGTCAATAATTATTCATTTTGTTCATGAGGTTTTAGATTTTTAACCATATAGTTGTCTTTCTTTGTACTTAATATTTTTTCAAAAAAATGTCATGAAATTGTTCATTTAAAAATAAATTATTTTCAAATTTGTGCAAAACAATGGGTTCAAGACCCGGTACCTTTCCAAACTGGGCTGTGTGATGTAGGTCCTATTTGGTTCCCGTTTTTTTTTTTTTTTTTGTTTTTTTTAACAAAATACATTTTCCAATTATAAGGCCTACTCCGATGTTTCCGCGAACGCAATATGATTTTAGCGACTCATGAGGGTCCAATGGGGGTCGCCAATCAGTGGGCCAAAATATTGGGTCATAGAATGGGTCGCCATGTGAAGATCAGTCCTGCACATGCGGGTCGCCATGTGCATAATGTCATGAAGTGACTCCTAAGACGCTTGGAGGATGGAAGACACGCATGTTGGTTGGCAAAGAATATAGTTAGACTAGGGGCGTGCAGGAGCACAGGATGGTACCTCTTCAGAGTTCAGGCAGGTCGACTCGATTGAATACGAGGAGCTTGTCACCGGTAGTAGACTTGACTATGAAGAATGGAGTTGGCCATCCCTACATAAACTGGTTGGGAGCTAGAGTCATTCCCCTGACGAGGTCAAGGCAGGTCGAAACTAATTAGCAGGTATCATTGGGAGAGTCGTAGTGGTCGACCAGGGCGCTTGCGCGACCTGAAGCAACGTCTTGGTGCCGCACGGGCCGTACCGCTACGCCAAATCTCTAGGCCCAATTATTGAAATTGAACATTGAACCATCTCTAATAGCTAGACTTCACACACGAGTATATATAATATGTTAAATATTTATATTCAACCTAGGTCAAATCACAATTATTTATCTTTTGTTTTGTTTTTTTTTTTTTCAAAATTCAAGCAAACCCGCTAATTCTCAACATAAGTGGGTAGTACTGTAGTAGTAGTAGCCTTGAATCGCATTGACATTTGACATTGCCTTCCGTGAGAGAGACATTAAACCCTTGCACAGTCTCCCTCTCACCTAAACCCTTCGAAGCTTGATAAAGGAAGCACTAAACTCTTTGTTTTCTCAACATGCGCATACCTCATCGCAGACCTCTCCATAAACTCTTCAACTCAAAACAATTTCTCAAATCCACACCTTTCACAGCAGTACCAAAAACCCCATCTTCACCCACCCATAGACTCCTCTTTTCTGCTCGCCCTTCAAAACCCATCTCCAGAATTCACCCTTTGGATATCAGAACAACTTGGATTTATGTCGGTGCAGCTCCATCAGGTATTTCCCTTTGCACCAACGTTTTCATGTATTGTGTACATATCTGTGTTAAGGCTTATGCGTAACACTGTTTTTTATTTTCATTATTTTCTGAAGTGCACTTGTACAGCCCACACAATTCGGTTCAAATGGAGGTTTTGAGGCGGAAACTGGAGGAGTTTGGAATTTATAATGATTTTTGTACACCTGGGCAGCATCGCATTCTTTGTCCCCAGGCATGTAATTTGCATACTTTGAGTAAATTGTGTTAGTTTGGTCATATCTATGTGAAATCTTCCATGCCATAGTAAATTTCAGAGCTTTAAGGGGTGGGTATGGTTAGTTTTGTACTGAATGTGTAGGAAAAGAAAATGATTTATAATACCGTGGAGAAGTTGGGTAATCCACAATCCACTCCCATCAGAACTCTTTCTATGCGTCAAATAGTTTTCTTCTACTTATGTAGAGTATCTCATGACTTTCACCCAGTACTTGGTGGTGTTTCAGCCGCTAAATTTTAGACATTTTTGCTTAAGTGGCTCATTTTTCAAGTTTGACCTGGCTCATGCTTTACTATTGTCTTATTGCAAAGGGTACTGCTTCTGCAGCCCAGGTAGTAAGAACTGTTGTTACAAAATAATGGAAATTTATAATAATCTAAAAAATGATTTTCTAAAAGTAAAATTCAATCTAAATGAGGCTGGATTTATTTAATGCAAAACTAACTTAACAAGAAAAGAATTAGCTGTAATTTGGGTCAGTTTCATTCATAGTTTTCCAAGTGCAAGCATGAGCGAGGCCTTTTACTTTGTAAGTAATAGGTTGTTTATAGGCACTGAGGTTTAAAATTTATCAATTTGAATTTGCAAATGTGAGAAATATATATAATTATTTTAACATTGAGTGAGAGACCAAGTTATTCCTTTTGTTCTTTTCTTTTTTGTGATAAAACACATACTCACTCCCCTTTTGGGTGTGGTAGGAGATACTACTTAAGCAAACAACCGGTGGTGTGAGCGAACTATAAAGGTTTATAAATAAAAAAAGAAAAACCAACTTTAAAGGTGATAGTATAAAACAACTTGCAAGTTGAGGTGTATGGCATACTTGGTGAGCCTTTGATTAATTTATTTTTATATTTGAAATGATTATATAATAATAATCTATAATTTTGTATAGACATCATAGAAGCATATTAGCGTAATTAAGCAAAGAAAATACTTAATATTCCACCACTATTTTAATTATAGAAATATTACACGCACAGAGAGCAACAGTGGATCAATTAGAAAATGTTATGGAATATAACATGCAAAAAGGGTATTACTCAGTTTTACTCCTGCTGTAGCGTTGTCCTGGGAAGAGATGACTCAAAATAAACCTAACATTTATTATTTAAGAAAGTGGCTGCTCTGAGGCTCAAACTCGTGTCAATGACGCCGATATTCAAGGCATCTGTTGAACCAGACAACAGCTTCCTATAAAAATTATGTGCGTAGATATATAAGGTTATGTAATTACTATATATAACCAAATAATGGAATGGATGTGATTGGTTACTAAAGATAAGAAATAATGAAAAGTGATAACTGATAAAACATGAGTCATAAATGTCTTAAAAGACATTTATGCAGTGCATAAAACACACCTTTGACAATGACTTGCATCTTCAACTGTATGCCTAATAAAATATTCAAGGAATTTTATGAACTTAAATGATAATTTGATTCTGCTGTTTAAAAATATGTTCGATTCTACAAAGTAATTAAAGTCTTTTTGTGATGTATTGGATTTTATATTAAAATCCTAATGATGGTCTATCAGACTCGATGTAAATGGGAACTCAAGCAACTGAAATTAATTTGTAAGAAAATTCAATTAACCAAGACCTAATTTTGCTTCTTGAAGTAGCTATGCTGCCTTGTAAGGTTATTATGTCTAGCAACTATTATATGATGATTTGATCGCAATTCCTGTGCAAACGCAAGTTGCAAATCTACAGAGCTGGCCAGAGTCATTAGCAATTCCCTCTTCAAATAATGACAAAGGTGAAGAAGCAGAAGCTATTCTAGGACCGACTGGAAAAAGTTTAAATGAACACAAAATGAAGCCATTGGTCATCCCAGTGAATACAAAGTGCTAGGTGGGGTAGATTTGGGTATGGGTTGAACTTTTCGTATTGTTTTCACAGAGTGGCTGCTTAACTTGAACTGTGTTCTCAACTTCTTGTGCTGGACAAGCGCAGCATAAAATAAAAAACTCTGAATATATTGACCTATGGAACCAAATAAAAAAGAAATAAGCTACCATGGAAGAAAATTGTTGATCCTGGTTTTAAGCTCATGTACGATGAGGTTTAACATGTGTAATTTTTTGACATGGACAAGCATCCATATTGATTGGGCGATATTTTGAACTTCATTTTTGCATAACTGGATTGGAAGTTCTATGGTCATTGTTTTATTGGATTTTGCACTGTTATTAAATATTTATGCTGCTTGAAATGGGAATGCCTCATCTTCAACAATATTGAGATTCTCGTATGCTGTGTTGTATAAAATTTTATGCGTTGAAGTGTTCGGACTTGGTAACACATCCAGTGCATAAATCTTTTGATAAATACATATTATTAGATATTAAACATGTTATATATAATACGTATATGCTTATATCATTTATAAATACAACTCTGTAGTAGCATATTTACCTGTAAAAAAACTTATTAAAAGAAATATTAACAAGTTAAAAAAAAGAAGAAGATCAACTCATTTAAGCATTTTGGTTTCTGGGTTTAAATTTAAACCTTGGTTTTCCAATGCAAAATATGTATCTAGGTTTTTTTTTTTTTTTTTTTTTTCTTGTTTCCATAGTGCAAAGGTGGTGATTCTTGCGAGAAGACCTTAGCCCTTTTAATCACTTCAAATTGGTAAGCCACTCTATTTTTTTCTCTTATTACTTGTCATTATGCCAGTAATATCTATTCTGGTCATTTCAATATGTGTAGTAATTCAGCAGTTTGGAATTGTTTTCGGACAAATTGTGGATGGAAGGGCTGTACACAGGTAACTTTTTGTTTTCTTTTAGTTTTCATTCAGACTCTATTTTATTTGAGATTCTCCTTTTCAAGTTTCACCCTTTGGTTTCAGTATGCAGATAGTAAGTCAGGAAGCATGATTCAGAACCCAAAAGTTAAGCACAAGAGAGAAATCACAGAAAAGAGTTTGGAGTTGGAACCACTATGTGCTGAGGTAGTTTATTTATATTTTTTGTATACCCTCTTCCTTCTTGTTAAATTTGCTTTCTTAAATGCTCTAAGCAGTTTGCCCTCTTAACTCTTATTTATCATACATAATTTTTTTTGGAAGAGTACATTACTGCATTGGCGTGTTGTGTATGTTACATCAATTCGATGTTTAACAAGATTTGGATCTCCATGTTACAGTCTTCCTAGATTACTTGAAAAAAGTGTTATTGATAGGACTGCAAATGAACCAAACTATTGATGAAATATTTCGGTTTTGACTCGTTAAAGGCTCAGATCATTTTCAACCATTAAGTAAATTGTTAGATCTTGACCTCACTTTTTAGGCTCATTCAATATGAGCTCGTTTAATTAATGATTCAAGCCTACTGAAAATGTTTTTATTTCTTAGAAAATGCTCTGCAGTACAGCTACGGTCATTTGGTGCTATCTATTTGAGTCTTCTAAAAAGCTCCAACTTGCTTTGCAGTATAAATAAATTTAGTTTTTTATTTCAGGTGTCGACCTTGTAATTCCAAATGGGTCAAATTTGACCACGCTTAAATCTACAGGCACACTACCATTTTTCATCACAAAATCAGAACAAAATATACATGATAAAGTCTGAATGTCCATGAGTATATAGCATTATGTTAATGAAATTCTTTAAAAAAAATCTCACATAATATTCCAAAAAACCAAATCATCATATTTTGATTAACAATATCAAAATATACTCAGTTTGTATATATATATATGTATATATATATATATATATATATATATATTGGGGTGGTGGTGGTGGGGAGGGGAATAACACGTTGAAACTTGAAACTTCAAACCAATTTGAGAATCTTGTTCTCTTTGGTTCCTTTTAACTCAAATCTAAAAACATATTTAATTAGCACGGTTGCCAAGTAGTAAATATTCAACCCTTTGAATATACACATCGCAATAGGCATGAAACAATAAAATCTCATGGCACCAAATTTTTTTGTTTTTGCAACAAGACAATCACATAACTAGATGAAAGCATAGTGGGTTTTTTTTTTTTTTTTTGGTCACAGTAACCAACAATTTATTTTGTCACAGAAACCAACAAATTAACAAACAAGTCTCATCAATCCAAATCAAGAATGAAAAAGTATGAGATTGTGCGTTGTAATAGCTTACAATGTATAATTTGAGATCATGCATCTATAATTCTATATTTTGGTTTGTACGTTGCTGTTGTCATCAAGCTTTATTTCTAAATCTTGTTAATGTACCACCTTCAATACCACATATTCTCTCTTCTTCCGGGACATGAAAATATTGTGATTAATGAAAGCTCAGGCATGTTGTGTTTACATTGTGATATGTGACCAATGTATACAATGAATTTACCAATGCGCCAGGTCCATATTATTGTACCACCTGCAGTTTGACACCAAATCCTCCCATCTATAATACATTGTGGGGTCCCTTAGAGTACATGAATGTGTACCTTCTGGATATTGAAGCTTTACTTACAACAATGAATTTGTCTGATTCTCAAAGTCACATGTTCGTTTGTTCAAGTATCGGATTCAAAATCTGCCTACCTCCAAAGGAATCAGTTAAGGAATCTGATACCATTCTATCAACCACCTTCAAAATGCTATGAGCTTATATGTGCAACCCGCTAAACAAATAGAGTTCTAGAGTCACTTCTCCCTTCTTCAAAATCACAAAAATGAAGTTACCATCACTTAAATTCCTCTCAAGTTTAGCAGTGGCTTGGAGACGATGAAGTGACTTAGAAACATCCTTACAGACAATCCCACAACATTCTTGGAAGCAAGCATTAGTCATCCCATACTTGGAGCTTTTTCCCTATTTAAACTACTCAAAGCTTTCATCAAATTATCCTCATATAAAGGAATTTCCTTTTCTCCTTTTGTTTGTTTGTTTGCTTGCTTGCTTGTTTGTTTGCTAAGTAAGATAACTTTATAAAGACGAAAAAATCCTCATATAAAGGACACATAACCATTTCTTTGTCATCTTCTTAATGCCTAGTTCGATACACCAATATCCAAATACTGTGTTATGTACTATTGCACAATACATACACTGATTTACCCTCACCTCTAACTCCCTCTTCAATAACAATTATTCTAATATGAGATATCTCCTTTATGCGTTGGTTAATCTTTTTGTCAATTGGTTAACCTGACAAGGAGGAGACAGGTTGTTGTCAATTGGTGCTGCGTGTGCAAGAGAGATGAGGAGATTGTAGATCATCTTGTGTTGCATTACCCAGTGACCCAAAACAGTCGGGACTTATTGTTGGGTTTGTTTCGTGTCCAGTGGGTTATGCCTAGGTCCTCGAGAGGGTTAATTGAGGCTTGGAGAGGGTCTACAGTGGGTGCCCAAGCCTGTGACTTTTGGAGGGTAGCGCCCTTGTGTGTCTGGTGGTGCTTATGGACAGAACAGAATAGGAGATCCTCTGATGGAGAGGATACTCTTATTGGGGTGCGGAAGTTCCCTATAGCTTATGGACAGAACAGAATAGGAGATTCTTTGATGGAGAGGATACTCTTATTGGGGTGCCGAAGTTCCCTATTCTTAGTTCTTTTTTTTGTTGGGTTCTTGGGAGAAATTGTAAATCCACGGGGGAGATAGTTGATTTTTTGGACTCTTTGAGGGGTTTCCGGGATGTGTTCCCTGTTTGAATGCTTTCGAGTTCTAAAACAATCTTACTTATCACAAAAAATAAATAAATAAATAAAAAAGTAAAAAAAAAATAATAATAAAAAATGAAAGAAAGAAGAATAAATGAAAGAGTTTAAACAGTAATAAGTGCCAGTTTTGTAATAAAAGGCTTAAAATCCCCTATATTTGGTGGCAGTGGGAGGCAAAACTTTCGTTCTTAAAATAAAAGAAAATGATGCACACCTTTTTTTTTTTTTTTTTTTGATAAGTGAAAATGATACACTTATTAGACGCGTCTTGAGAACTGCATCCTAAGCCTGAAAGCCTTATAAAATTGCACATTGTGGATGGGCAAATTGTGTATCATGTCAAGCTGATTTTTTTTCCCCCATCAAAATTGATGTACTCTGATCACTTTAGTTTTTGTAATATGTCATGTTTAGGAAGCTTATGAATTCTACCGCTTTCACTAACAAGACTGTGCTGCATGCATGTTGCTGAACGCGAAAACCAAGATTTTTTTCCCGCTTGAAAAATAAAAATAAAAAATCATTTCCTTATCATGCTGTTTTCATTCAAGTTTGAGGGATATCCTCCACACATTTATATTGTTAATTAGCATTATTAATGTTTTGTTTTTGATGTTGTTTCAGATACTTGACTATTTTGCTGAAAGAAAGATATCAGGGGAAACATTGAGAAGAAATTGTGTAATGCAAAGAAAATTGGATGATAAGGTCAACAACCATTCTGAATCCTTAAGTACTACTACCACTACCTATTTTTATTATTCAATCATGGGGAGACTAGTTGTAATAGAAGGTAAGACAAGGAGAGAGTGACCAAAAGATAACGTGGGATGAGGTTATTAAAAATGACTTAAAAAAGTTAAATGTCTTGATGAACATCTGGTGAACATTAAATGTCTTGAACCTTGAGATTTTGTTATCCATTATATTATTGTGAAACAAAATTGATTCCTATGCAAACAATTAAAAAATTGGAAAGAAAAATGTTTAAATTGACATCTACTACCCATCTTAAACTGTGTGGTGCTTCACTTCTTCTCAGTCATGCGAAGTAGTAAAGTAAGCTCCTTTATTAAGTTTAACAGTGCAAGGATTATTTCCCTTTTTGTGCATTTTCTGTTTCAGTTCTTAAGTATGAACGTGAATGTTAGTTTTGCCTTAACTAACTATTGAAATTCTATTGACAGATTGTCATTGCATTTACTTATCGACAAAATGGAGCACTTGTGAGTTGCAAATACCGTGATGTCAACAAAAAGTTTTGGCAGGTTCTTATGATTAATGTTACTGTAGAAATTTAAATTAAGTAATTAACAAGCGAAGCTGGAAACAATGGCAATGATTTTTTCATTAACTGTCTTTTAAATCCTTCAGTTGAATCCTCAACCCATTGCGGGTGATTAAACTTGCACAGAAATTTCTTGATTGGATGATTAGACCTTAAATTGTGCCAAAGATCTGTGAAATTAATCTATTGACACTGATATTCTGATCAGAGGGATTTCTAAGAGAAATGTCTCCAACATAATAATTGAAGTGTAGGTCCTGTTCTTTTAGATAAATGCCATTTTTGTGGCTGTGCCTTTCATTGACCTTTAAGTCAATTGGCTGTGGATGTATATATTTGTGTTGTGTCTATACTTTTGTTCTTTTAGTAAACAGTCCTTGCAGTGAACTCTTATTATATTTGTTTCTACTTTAATTGTTAAAATGTAATTAAATTTTAATACCACTCTGATATCACTCTTGTCACTACTCTCTTGTTAATTTGCAGGAAAAGGATACTGAAAAGATATTCTATGGACTTGATGATATAAGCAACACGAGTGATATAATCATTGTACTGCACTCATAATGTCATACCTTCTTAGTGTTCTGCTGTCTATGGAATATTCCTTGAAATTTTGTTTCTATCTGATGTTTTTTATAATTCTGGTTGTAGGTTGAGGGTGAAGTAGACAAACTTGCAATGGAAGAAGCTGGTTTCCGGAATTGTGTGTCGGTCCCTGATGGTGCAGCACCTCCAGTTTCCACTAAAGAATTTTTTCAATCTGCAGACCAGGTCTTTGTCAACTTATGAATTATTGAAATTTCAATTTCTTTAAAATTTATATGTCCATGTTGTAAATTTTTTTGTCATAAAAAAACTATAATACATTTTTAGTGATGCTCAATAGTTTCGATGGTGTTTTGTATTAAACTGCATGACAATGATGTTCTTTACATGAATAGAGAGTTCCATCTCCTTGGATTACAAATTGCAAGTTATAAGCACACACGCATGAATGTGTAACCTACAAACGATTTTTAAGCAAGGTTTTTAAAATCGGGATTCTATGGAGGATCGTTTTGGGCTCCATAGAATCAAAATCGTAGAATTGGATTCAGAATCGTAAGATTCTACCAAACTAGTAAAAAAACTATTTCTTAAACAATAATATCTCTAAAGTATAGCAATAATAAGTCCAAAACACAAAAAAAGTATAAAAGTACCACTCCAAAGTCGAAATATAATATAAAAGAGAATATGGCTCAAAAGGTAGAGCTCTTATGACAGCTATGCAAGTGCTCAAGCTAATTCATGTGAAATAAAAAAGGCAAAAAAATGTTTTTGTGGAAAGAAATCTAAATTTGCGCTTAAATTGGTAACCAGAATTACACAACCTTAATGAAATAAGGACACATAATTATTCTCTCTCAAATTACAAAACAAGGATACCGACTAGTGAGTGACCAATTGCTTTTATTCAAACACATCTGCACTCCAAAATACCTACAATAAATTTGAACAACCTAATTAATAGGCGTAACTGAAATAAGCTTTAATTAGCTAATTCTTGTATAGAAAAGCTTGGAGTTTATTGCTCTAAAGCTTTATATATCAAGTTGAAGGCCAGCCCTTGTAATTTCACAGAAGCATTAAATGCGGAAGTCTGAAAAAAATTAGCAAATCAAGAACGGATTCAGTAGTTACAGAACTGTCAGAACAAGAAGGAACGACTGAACAAGCCCCGAAAATAAAAAATTTAAAACCAATAACATAAAAAAGAACAATAATGAACATGTTGAACAACTGAAGTTACCCAAAACAAACTAAAAATGAGAGCCAAAAATCAAAATTTAAGACTCAAAGGCTTGGTTGATCTTTGCTGCAACGGAAATGGTCATCAGCTTTACATTTTTCTCTGATGATTAATTAAATGCATTCTTTATCATGGTTTGTCATTTTCTCTTGGCTGAAATTTTCTGTAATTTAGTTCCTTTTTCTACTGTAATTTCAATATATGGCATGTTTCTTTTTTCCCTCGTATCTCTGCAATATTCCCTCACCTTTTTAGTTGCTTGTGCCCACATTAAGACTTGGGTAGGCTTTAGTAATAGTTTTATTGTTGATCACAAGCGAAAAATGGAGAATTGCAGAACTGTCCTCTTATCATTGCATGATTGTCATATCTGGTTCAAATCTTGAATCTAATGCTCCTTTTATGTATTTTGTAAAGCTAGGACACAAAGTATCAGTATCTGTGGAACTGCAAAGAGTACCTTGAGAAGGTTGGTTTTTTTGACCCCTTCTTTAATTGTAGAGTTATTGCAGAAAACAAACGCCTTGGTTGTTTGAAAATTTGATAGGCATCTCGCATAATTCTTGCCACTGATGGGGATCGACCTGGTCAAGCCTTAGCTGAAGAGCTTGCACGCCGTCTTGGAAGAGAAAGGTTCACATTATTTTCTCCCGATGATACTATTTACTGACATTCCCTTTGGAAAATCTTCATGCCCTTATAAAGATATATTTGCTAACCATACTTTTTTGGGTTTGTAGATGCTGGCAAGTCAGTTGGCCAAAGAATTTCAAAGATGCAAATGAGGTTCAGTATACATTTACACATCTGACTTATGAAAACTTGTTTGTCATTTTATCACTCTTTGTGATTTATTTCCATTCATCCTGCCATGCAACTCATTAGCATAAAACAGTTATACCAGTCTCATAGGTGGTCTGCCCATGTAAGTTTTGTCCTGAAGACCTTTTGCATTGTCAAATCTTCATCAATTTTTGCTGAGACTATTGTTGTAACTGTGTCTATATGTTAAATGTATGCTCATAGGTGCTCATGTTTATGGGACCTGATGCGCTGAAAAAAGTCATTGAGAAGGCTGAGTTATATCCTATAAGGGGATTGTTCAACTTTAAAGATGACTCTGATGAGATTGATGCATATCATCATTGAAATGTAAGTATGTTTGGCTTTTTGCCTTGAATTTTCAACTCATTTCTTTAGCTCCCTTTTGTTCTTTCTTTCATTTAAAAGGGAATATTGATTAAATGGCATCTTGGAGTAATTGAGTGATGAAGCATGGTACGAGAAGTGTGGTCAAGGAGATATTGGCAAATTGCTACCGGTCGTCAATTTTTGTGATCAAATTTGTGAATCAATATTATGTTTTTTCTTTCTCCCCCAACCCAAAAGTTCATATATTATTGTAATGTTTTAAAAAATTTGTAATTTGAGTCTGTAATCCACATTTAGCTTGAGGTTTTTCATTTCTTAATTTGTTTCGGAATATAATTAGTAGTGGTATGGATGGAATATGACCATCGAGGATGGTGTTGTGCTTGCACCAACTCAATAGACGTGGGTCCTATAAAGTTGACACTTGGAAAAGTGATGAAGGTTTTTAAAAGTATAGAATAAACTAATGTTCAAGAAGACAAACAGAAATTCTATTAATTGTAAAAAAGCTCTCATGCTACACTTTTACCATTATGTCAAATATGGTTTAGTGGGTTAAAATATATATATATATATATATATATATATATATATTTTGAATGATGATTAGCTCAAAATTTAGGAGACCGTTACTACTTAATTACTTTAGTTTTTAATTCATTTGTGTTACTAATTAGCTATTGATTAAATACATTTGCAAGATTGAAATAGAAGGAGATTTAAATGAGAGTTGGGATAAGAATGAGGTAGATGAACTGGAAGACTCTGTGGAGAAGAAACTTTGTGGAAGAATGTTGTAGAATTGGTTTTGGGTTCCTACTCTCAGGGCCATTTCAAGGTTAGGTCCTTTTTTAGGTGTCTTTCGGTCGGCACCGGAGGCCCTTTCCCCTGGAAGTCTCTTTGGCGTTCTAAGGCTCCCCTTAAAGTAGCCTTATGTGCTTGGACTTCCGTCCTGGGTAAGATTTTAACCCAGGATAATTTGAGGAGAAGGAATCAAGTGGTGATCAATCGATGCTATATGTGCTTGTGCGATGAGGAGACAGTTGATCACCTTCTTTTGCATTGTAGCTTAGCCAGAGACTGTTGGGATTTGATGCTTGGTTTATTTGGTGTCTCTTGGGTTATGCCTTGTTACTCCTGAGGGGTTGATCGAGGCTTAGAGAGGTGTCTCTGTTGGGGCTATCATGCAGGATGCCTAGAGGGCTACGCCAGGTGGCTCAACTTATTTGTTATGGTGTTCACATAGTTTACATAATGGGTATGACATTCCATTCACACTATGTGAATAGAGCAATAAATGACATCGATGGGGAAAAACTTAGCGTACGTGAACAACTAATGAAAAAACTTGCTTCTAGTGAGAATTGTCGTAATATATAACATATAGGACCATATGCATTTTGCTACATTATGTAACATACTTCGTTCTACTGGTCGGTACAATAGAAATGTTGTGGTTGAGGAGAAAGTAGCCAAGTTTCCAAATGTCTTGGAGCATAACGTGAAGAACCATGCCATTCAATTCTTCTTTGTTCGATCTGGCGAGACTATTAGTGGTCATTTTCATGATGTGCTAAAAGCAATAATCAGTTTAGAAAATTTATACCTACAACAACCAAGCGGTTCCGAAGTCCCTCCACAAATGCGCAATAGTAACAGATTCTATCTATATTTCAAGGTAAAAAAAAAATTAAAAATAATAATAATAAATTTTTATAAGTCATTGATGGACTCGTATTCGTGTGAAAGTGTCTAAAAAGATGCACCAGCATATTGAGGAAGAAAAGACTATCCAACAAAATGTCTTAGCGGCATTCTCGTTTGACATGAAATTTACGTTAGTTTTGCCTAGGTGGGAAGGATCTGCATGTGATTCAAGGGTAATAAAAAAATGCTCTTTTAGAACGAGAAGATAAACTAATAATCCCTGAAAGTAACTTATAGTCATATCAAGTTTATGATTTTGTAAATTAAAAAGAGTTACTTATAATATTCATATTTCTTCTAGGTAAATATCATCTGGTGGATGGAGGTTACATGTTAAAGAGTGGACTAATAACTCCATATAGAGGTGTTCGCTATCATTTGAAAGAATACTCATCACATGCACTAGAATATGTTGAAGAATTATTTGAACGACATTCTTCCTTGCGCAATGTAATTGTATGAGTATTTAGTGTGGGTAAAAAAAGATTTCCATTATTTCAACTGGTGCAGAGGCTCATTACCCAGTTGATACAGTTACAAAGATTGTGTTAATGTGTTGTATCTTGCATATATATCCACTGGGTGTAGAACCTGATGAAAGATTGATTGAAGAAGTTGATCGAGACCTCGTGATCATTGATATACATATCGACGAGGAGTAAGATACACTTACTAATGATGACGAGGCTAAGTGATGATTAATTGTAAGGAATGCCATAGCATCTAACATGTGGGAGGACTACAGACCATACTGTTTATTTTTCCTTTTTCTATTTGTATCAGTACTTTTGTGTCTTTAACTTACTGAATAATTATGACATTTATGTTTTATTATGTTAGATGCTTATTTCACATTAAAATTTCTATGTTTATATTTCTACTATTTTCTTTTTTCTTTTTTTGAAACCTGTGTGATGATTTTAAAATTTATTATTATATGATATTAAAAAATTACAGGTTGTGGAAATGAAGAAATTAATTAAGGATGAGTCAAATTCACAATGTGGGGGGTCTTCAAAGGGTACAAAAAGAAAGGATCTAATGATTGATTTATTTGAGAAAGACATTGAAGCTATTGGATCTGGAATTAACAAAGTAGCAGAGGCAATTGAAAAGGGAAATCTTGTTTCTGAGCGGGGACTCGAAATTGCAGCAAAGATGGTTGCAATAGCTGAGAAAGCACGAGCTGATTGTCATTCAGACAAAGAAGTATATGCGGAACTAATAAACATTGGAGTTCCTGATTATATTCAATTGGATGCACTTCTATTCCTTCTCAATTCTTCTCAGCACAAAAGCGCATTTTTTGGTGTTCCGTCTGAGCGGCGTCTGGAATTGCTATATAAGATGATGTAGGAAGGAAATGACTCTTGAATAGTCGCTAATTGTTTGTTTCCTATTCATTATTCTCATGAAGTCTTTTTTATTTTTCTCTTGGGCTATATTTTAATTATTCCATATACTTTATATTGTTTGTTTTGGTTTCAGATTTGGTTTCTTCATTCATATAAATAAAATAAATTGGTCGCATTTATAGGGCTCATTAAATTTGATTCTAGACGTGGTTACATTGTTTTGTTTTGTCCTTGTCGAATGAGTTAATTTATTTAACTTTTTGCCTCCGATGCTTGTAGCATGAGTTAGTTTAATTGTTTTCTTTTGCTTCTTTTGTAGGATGAGATAATTCAATACTCTTAGAAGCAATCTTGGTGCTGACCAACAAGTTTCTGGGCCTCAGCAGAGACATTGTACCTTTTTTCAGAGCTTCCTCCCTATGGAGAATGTGGTTTCTGCCATGGGTCGTCAAATTTTAGCCGAGTTCTTAGGCATAGATATGGTAGCATGCTAGCAGTATTTGTAATATATGCTCTAAGTTGGTGTGTTTATGTTTGTTCCTTCTCCGTATGAGGGGGCTGTTTTTCCCAGCTACGGTGCATATCTTGATTGGGTTTTGCATGCTACAATTGGGGGTTATTTTTGTAGCTTCTGTGATGACCACTCCTTTTGTGAACTTAAATAATTAAAGAAGCTAGGGAAAAAAAAGGTGAATGATAATGGTGACCACATTCTCCACAGGGAGGAAGCTCTTGCCACTTGCCATTGTTTCTCTTTCTTCTAACTCTCAGTCTGCTCTTGTTTCTTCATAAAAAATATTACAGAAAGAAACATGGAGCAAATCCTGTTACTGTAACCTACGCGAGCTTGATAACTCAGCTCCACATCAGTACCTATGGCAACTCTCCACAAAATATGGCCCTCTCATGACCCTTCAACTCGGTTTCGTTCCAACCCTTGCGGTTTCTTCAGTAAAGATGGCTAAAGAGGTCCTGAAAAGGGGGATAAAAAGTTCTTTTTAGATGTTACAATGGATAAATGCAATATTATTTGTATTAACTATTAAGATTTCAATTATAATCACTTATGATCACGGAATTCAGCGTGCATTTTTGTATTGGTGTATGTATGAGTGTTTTGTTTGATGGGGGACCGCTTTCGCTTGGTAGGAACGAAGGAAGAAGTGTGGAGGAAAGATAGGAAGGAATAAATAAATTTTATTTGTTTGGTAGAAAGAAGGTAATGAGAGAAAAAATAAGAGGATGGATGAGTATTCTTTCTTTACAAATTTTTGTCCCTTTAAATATGGGTGAAAGACATGAAGGAAAAAAGACAAGCGACTAATGAAAGTTTTTAAATTATAAAACATTCCTTATAACTACCACATTCTCTCTTTCTTCTCTCTTAACAAATAAAATAAGGTATTATTTTATTTTCTTTCATCCAATTAAATAAAAAAAGAAACAGGCACAATTTCTTCCCTAGAGATATCTTGTTTTCTCTTTTTGCCATACAATTTTCTTTCTTTGGTAACAAACAGCTTAAGGACCTTTTAATACACTATATGGGACAGGCATTTGGATAGAACCAAAAGGGGAGTCAAAGGGCATTAGATTTAAAAAAAGAAAAAAGAAAAAGAAAAAGATCTATACTATATATTAGAAAAAGTATAAAGGTTTATATCCAATTTTGAATTTCTTTATCACATATTTACATATTTATTTTTTAAAAAGAGTTTATTTAGATGAGTTTCTTTAAAACTCTATGGTATATTTATATATTTATTTTTGTTAAAAAAACTCTTTTTTAAAAGAGTTTTTAGAAGTCATATATTTAGATCTTTATTTTTTCAAAAGAGTTTTCATTTAAATATTTATATTTTAAAACAGAATTTTATTATTTTTATAAAAGAGTTGCCTAATGTAATTTGAAGTTATTATTATTAAAAAATCTGAGTTTTTATTTAGATATTTATTTTTAAAACAAGAGTTTTATTTTTTAAAAAGAGCTGCCTTATATAATTTGGAGTTATTATTATTTATTTTTACAAAGAGTTTTTATTATTTTTTAAAAAAGCTACCTTATGTAATTTGGAGTTTATTATTTTATTATTAAAAAAATAACTAGAAAGAGTAAATTTTAATTAACCTTTTGTAGTGGATTCTAAATACTCATATATAAGAAGACATTACAATTGACTTCATAAGTATTTAAAATTTAATTACTCAAAATAAGTAGTTAATTATTTATAAAAGAATATTTTATTTTTTATTATTCTATAAATTAAAAAAAAAAATTTAAACTTAATATTACAAACAACTGTCTTTTACTAATGAATATAAATGACAATAGAGCCGGTGATTTTTTCTCTGAGTTTAAGCGTCTAAAAGAACAAACGGGTGTTTTTTCATTTTTTGACAATGACAAAATATAGGATTAATTTTATTGACATTCTTTTAAATTTGACCAAATATCATTTTCATTTATGTTTCGAAAATAATTATTATTTAGATTTATTTTTATTTTTCCGTTAATAAATATAAAAAGACAACTTTATCCCTTATTTTTTAATCCTATTTATTCCAAAATACCGTGTGTGTATATATATATATTAATCGCAAATATATATCGCCACCTAAACTGCGGCGTTAGCTCCATTTGGGGTTGAGGGCGATTTGGTTATGACTGGGTTGAGTCTCCGTGTAGATGGTGGCAGTTTGGTTTTTGCGGTGGTGGGGTTTGGTTTTGGTTTGGATGCTTAGATATTGGGTTTATGTGCGGGAAACAGTTAATTGATGGTTCAGGTTGGTGCTTTAGAACTGAAATTGGGGCTGCTCTTTTGTGCTTTTAGCTTGGAAAAATTGATTGTGGGGTTGTTCAATAAATATGGTGAACTTGGTTGTAATTTGTATAGGTGGTGATGAGTGGCACCAGTTAGGAGTCGTTTGGATGGTGGTCTGTGGTTATGATTTTGGTGATGTGAGTGGTGTTGGGTTAGTGGGTTTTGTGGTTGTTTGGTTAGATTTAAGTGATGCAGACTTTGGTATGTGGGGTTTGCGAACTGGGGTGGAGCTGGGCGGTGGGTGATGGAGGGATGGGTAGTGTTCATGGTGGTGGGGGAGGTGGCGGCGGCATGTTTAAGGGAGAAGATGATTGAACAGTAATAATAAGGGTATTTTTGGAAATATATATATATATTTAAACTAATTTGGAAGCAAATTTAAAAATAGAACTTCTTGGTCCTATTATGGACTTAAACAAAATGGATATGTATCTATATATATATATATATATTATAATTTAAATATTCTATAACTTTGTCAAAAACAACTCTTTAGTCTTAAAAAAAAAAAAAAATTAAATAAAAAGACTAAAATATCCTTAAAGATATATACACATACATATATATATATACATACCTATATTCAAACAATATATAAATGATACAGAATGGGTATTTTTGAAAAAATTTTGAGGGTGTCACTTAACCAAACCTGAAGTGGAAGTGTGAGTGAAATTAATCAATATATATATATATATCTAAAAGTCCGTCCAAATGAAGTCCCTTTTATATCATATTTTAGACCCACAAAGAAAAACTTATATCGTGTTGCCCCCGTTTCTAAGAGACAGACCTTAAACCCTTGCACTTTCTCTAGCTCACCTAAAGCCTTCGAAGGTTGTTAACGGAAGCACCAACCTCTTTCGTTTATCAGACATGCGTTTTCCTCATCACAGCCCTCTCCAGAAACTCTTCAACTCAAAAGTTCCCAGGGGTTCCAAACAATTTCTCGAATCCACACCTTTCACAGTACTACCAAAAACCCCTTCTTCACCCACCAATAGACTCCTCTTCTCTCCTCTCCCTTCAAAACCCACCTCCAAGATTCACCCTTTAGCTCTCAGAACTTCTTGGATTTCATCTGACTCTCATGTCAGTATTCCTCAACCAGGTATTTCCCTTTACACTTTTCTTGTATTGTGTAATGCTTTTTTATGTTAAGGCTTATACATGGTACTGTTTTTTAATTTTACATTGTTTTCTGAAGTGTATTTGGAGAACCCAAAAGATCAAGGGTTCGATTCGGTTCAAATGGGGGTTATGAGGCGGAAGCTGGAGGAGTTTGGATTTGATAATGATTTTTGTGAACCTGGGGAGTATAGCTTACTTTGTCCTGAGGTATGTATACTTTGAGTAAATTGTGGTAGTTTGGTTATATCTATATGAAATCTTTAATACAATATCAATTTTATAAACAAAAAATTAATTTTTAAATATCAATATTTGTTTTCATATGATGGGTAAATGTGTAACCCATGCCATATTAAAATTCAGAGCTTTAAGGGGTGAGTATGATTAGTTTTGTACTGGATAATTCAGAGCTTTGGGTAACCGTAATCCACTTCCATCTGAACTCTTTCTATATGTCAAATAATTTTGTTCCACTTGTGCAGAGTATATCATGACATTCACCCAGTATTTGGTGGTGTTTTAGCCGGTAAACTTTAGACACTTTTGCTTAAGTGGATCATTTTCCGAGTTTTACATGGCTCATGCTTTACTATTGTCTTACTGCAAAAGGGTGCTGCTTCTGCAGCCCAGGTAGTAAGAACTGTTGTTACAAAATAATGTAAATTTATAAAAGTGAAATTCAATCTAAATTAGTCTGGATTTATTTAATGCAAAACTAACTTACCAAGAAAAAAATAGCTATATTTTGGGTCCGTTTCATTCATAATTTTCGAAGTGCAAGCATGAGTGAGGCCTTTTACTTTATAAGTAATAGGTAGTTTCTAGGCACTGAGGTGTAAAATTTATGAAATTTGAATTTGCAAATGTAAGGAATATAAATAATTATTTTAACAGAGAGTCAGAGACCAAGTTATTCCTTTTGTTCTTTTCTTTTGGTGATTAAACACGCACTCACTTCCCTTTTGGTTGTGGTAGGAGATACTACTTAAGCAAACAACTGGTGGTAAGAACCAACTTTAAAGGTGATAGTATAAAACAATTTGCAAGTTAAGGTGTAAGGCATCCTTGGTGAGCCTTTTGATTAATTTATTTTTATATTCGAAATGATTATAAAATAATGCCTAATCTATAATTTTTATATAGACATTGTAGAAGCTTATTAGCATAATTAAGCAAAGAAAATACTTAATATTCCACCACTTTTTTAATTATAGAAAGATTACACACAGAGAGAGCAGCAGTGGATCAATTAGGAAATGTTATTGAATATAACAAGTGTGCATGTAAAAAGGGTATTACCCAGTTTTAGTCCTGCTGTAGCCTGTCCTGGGGAGATATGACTTAAGATTGACCTAACATTTATTATTTCAGAAAGTGGCTGCTCTGAGGCTCAAACTCGTGTCAATGATACCGATACTCAAGGCATCTGTTGAACAAGACAATAATTTTCCATAAAAATTATGCATGTCTTTGCGTAGATATATATATGGTTATGTAATTACTGTGTCATTTGTAATTCGTCGGAGCTCTTCCATTCTTCAAGTTGCCTCGCGTAAACTGAAATGTGTATAACGAAATAATGGAATGGATGTGATTGGTTACTAGAGATGAGAAATAATTAAAAGTCGTAATTGATAAAACATGAGTCATGCATGTCTTTTAAGCCATTTATGAAGTGCATAAAACACCCCTTTGATAATGATTTGCATCTTCAAGTGTATGCCTAATAAAATATTCAAGGAATTTTAGGAACTTAAATTATGATTCGATTATGCTCTTTAAAAATATGTTTGATTGTGCAAGGAATTTTCAGGCTTGTACAAAAGAGAAAAAAGAAAAAGAAGAAGAAGAAGAAGAAGATGTGGGTGGCATTATGACTGGGGTGTCAGTTAGAAAGGCTCTTACAATGTTCGTTTATGCGCAAATGAAGTTTGAAATATAGCCTAATCAATATGGATGCTTGTCCGTCCCAAAAATTTTGAAATGTTAAACCTCGTGGTACATAAGCTTAAAATCAGGGTCAACAATCTTCTTCCATGGTACCATTTTTCTTTTTTATTGGGTTCCATCGATTGATATATTCAGAGTTTTTTATTTTATGCTGCGCTTGTCCAGCAGGAGACTTTTAATATTTATGCTGCTTGAAATGGGAATGCCTCATCTTCAACAATATTAAGATTCTCGCAAGTTGTGTGTTGTCTAAAATTTTCACGTTTGTGTGTTGTCTAAAATTTTCACGTTTAAGTGTTCGGACTTGCATATTGTGGTTTGAAATGCTTCCAGGTGCCTGGAATCAGATGGGATCATGTTGTGACATCTAAGTGCAGCAAATGGAAATTGTTAACACATCCAGTGCATAAAAAAATTGATAAACACATATTATTCTATATTAAAGATGTTATATTGAATTCATATGTGTATATATCATTTATAAATACGACTATGTAGTAGTATATTTACATGTAAAAAAACTTGTCAAAAGAAATACTTACATGTAAAAAAAAAAAAAATTTACCAACTCATTTAAGCATTTTGGTTTTTGGGATAAAATTAAAACCTTGGTTTTCCAATGCAAAATATGTTGTTGTTGTTTTTTTTTTTTTTTTTTTCCATAGTGCAAAGGTGGGGATTCCAGCGAGAAGAGCGTAGCCCTTTTGATCTCTCCAAATTGGTAAGCCACTCTATTTTTTTGTCTTATTACTTGTCCTTATGCCAGTAATATCTATTCTGGTTATTTAAATATGTGCAGGAGTTCAGCAGTTTGGAATTGTTTTGGGGCAAATTGTGGATGGAAGGGTAGTATACGGGTAACTTTCTGTTGTTTTTAGTTTTCATTTTATGCATTAACATTCAGACTCTTTATTTTATTTGAGATTCCCCTTTTCAAGTGCGGCCCTTTGGTTTCAGGCCTTTGCAGATGGTAAGTCAACCTATGGAAGCATGAATCAGATCCCAAAGATTAAGCACAAGAGAGAAATTACAGAAAAGAGTTTGGAGTTGGAACCGCTGCGTGATGAGGTAGTTATTTTTTATTTTTGGTATACCCTCTTCCTTGTAGTTAAATTTGCTTTCTTAAATGCTCCAAGCTGTTTGTCCTCTGAACTCTTATTTATCAATTATCATACATAACATGTTTTTTGAAGAGTATATGACCGCTTTGGTGCATTGTTTATGATACATCATTCCAATGACAAAATTTGAATGTCAAGATTATAGGTTTTCTCGATTTCTTGAAAAAGGTGTTGCTAATAGGACTACAAATGAACCAAACTATTGAAGAAGAATTCAGTTTTGACTCGTTAAAGGCTTAGATCATGTTCAATCATTAAATAAATTATTAGAGCTTGACCTCACCTTTTAGGCTCGTTCAATTAATGAGTCAAGCCTACTGAAAAATGTTTTTATTTCTTAGAAAATGCTGCAGTGCTACTTAAAAGCTATGGTAGAAGTCCTGTTTTCAGACATTTGGTGCTAGTCTGCTAGCTATCCGAGTCTTCTAGACATTTGTTTTGTGTTGGAAATTGTGTCTCAAATTCATATTCTAATTATGTTTTTATTTTAGAGTTGTATTATGTTTGGTAATTTCTTGTTTGGCAAGTCTTGGCCTCTAAGAAATTGTAATCCTTGTCCAACAAGGAATTGGATTTGGAACTCTATTAATAGATACATAGACTTTGGGTTGATATTTATGAGATTGAGAGCGATGTAGTCTCATGAGGGAGTTGATGGATAGAGGTAGTACGCGGGTTGTTAGAGTAGGAAAAACACCGGTGACGCTGGTAGCGAGGAAATAGGCTCGTGGAGTGGTGGTATTGGTACTTTATTGTTGTAATATCTCTACGAATCATAGTGAAATCTCTTCTCATCCATGGACGTAAGCCGGTTTTGGCTGAACCATGTATATCTTGTGTTTGTGATTGTTTTGTTTACCTTTCATTGGATCTTGTATTTGTGCGCTTCCGCTGCCCCCAACATTTTGCCCTATAAATATATATATATTTTTTTACGTCAGGTCAGGTGTTGACCTTGTAATTCCAAATAGGTCAAATTTGACCACCCTTAAAAGTACATTTATCAATCAAATCATCATATTTTGAGTGACAATATCAAAATATACTCAGATTGTGTATGTACACACACACAGGCGCGCGCGCGCACATATATATATATTTTGGGGGGGGGGGGGGGGGGTGGGGTTTTGTGTTGGTAGGAAGGGGATTAACATGTTGAAACCCAATGCTTCAAACCAAATTGAGAATCTTGTTCTCTTTGGTTCCTTTAACTGAAATCTAAAAACATATTTCAGATTGAGCAAGATTGCTGAAGTCTGTCATCAATCCAAATCAAGATGTCATTTATTTGTCAAGCATTGAAAAAATTTAAGATTGTGCATCATAATACCATTCAATGTATACTTTGAGATCATGCATCTATAATTCTATTTTTAGGTTTGTATGTTGATGTTGTCATCAAGGTTTGTTTCTAAATCTTGTTAGAGTACAACCTTCATTACCACATTTTCTCGACATGAAAAAATTGTGATTATTGAAAGCTCGAGCATGTTGTGTTGACATTGTGATATCTGACCAATTTATACGACGAATTTACTAATGTGCCAGCTCCATATTATTGTACCACCAGCAGTCTGACACCAAATCCTCCCATCTATAATTGATAGAGATCAATGGCAGACATCTTTAAGGATATACAAAAGGCGCAAAAAGGAATGTTACAAGGCTCAAGCCTTAATTCAGCACATGCTAGATGATGGGGGGTCCACTTGGAGTCTTGCATAATTGGGGGATTTGGTCAAATTGCATAATTATGGTAGTAGCTTGCATCAATTATGATCAAATTGCATCCGTTAGTAGTAATTACTTTTATTATGCTAGAGTCAAATATTGATTACCTCGATTACGTGGTGATTACTTTTATAAAGCTACAGAGTCAACTTTTGATTACCTCAATCATGGAGTAATCTCAGGGTCATAAGTTGCTATAAGAAGGTATGATGTACACTTGGTGAGGCAGTCAATGAATGAATAAAAATATCTTTGAGATTTCTTTGTGAGTGATTCACAATTTGTGAGGGTGTGAGGCCTTCTCTAGGTGTGTTGCCTGGACCATGTTGGTGTGATTCCAATAGGTTTTTGTTGTTTTCAATCATTTCTCTCTACTAATATCTTGAATCATAGCTCTGTTTATTTTAATTTCCAACCACTTCTCCTTTGTTTTTCTACATTTATACTATCGAACCTCCAAATTTCTGCCCTAGTTGTTAGAACTTTCAGACTCTGAATTCTTTGAGTTCTTAGCTATTTAAGGCTACTCTCTTGTCCTATATCAGTTTTTGGTATCAGAGCCTAAGTAGATGTTATGTTTACTCAATCGGGCAATGAAACATTGGATAATAATCAGGAGATTGAATTGTTGTCTCATATTGTGGAACAACTTAAAGGGCTGAATGCTCGATGCGATAAGATAGTAGCTCGAATTTCGCAGCCTTTTAACAAATCGGTAGCCCTTAAAGAAGAATATGCATTTGGTACTAATGATGGCAGAAACCGCGAGCAACAACAGCCTTTACACTCCCAGCAAAGGCGTGATTTGAAGGCTGACCCACCACTACATCCCATGCTAGAGTTTCCAAAAAAGCGGTTAGAGGTAAATCATCATGAGACACATGATACTGCTGGAGAGATTACGAAGAAGTTGAGTGATGGAAATTGCAGCACTTGGACAGCAATAATGGAGCCAAATGAGGGATCAAAACCATCTTTATCTAACATAGATGATCCTGAAGGAAAGAGTACTATGGCTAGCAAGGTTAATGAGAACCTGCTTCATCATGGAACCTACAACACTGATTATCCGGAAGAGGATGAAGAGAATGTTCCATCCATGTCTATTGGGAGGCACATCCTTGCATCCCCTAATGTTGAAGACGAAGATGGGTGGCTCACCTCTAATTTTCAGATGCAAGTTCATTGCGGAAACCAAGCTCGGAAGCCTATTATTGATGGCAGTGGCAGCCCAAGTGTTGTCTTCACAACCACGGTTAAGCGTCTCAAACTTTCCATCCAACCATATCCACAACCGTTCAAAGTGGCTTGGATTGATCGTACTTATATTCCAAGGATTTATTCAGGTGAGGAGAGGAAGTTTAACAAGGTTATAATTCTTGGTCTTTGTTCAGAATCGAGAGAGAGAGAGAGAGAGCAAAACACTAAAATTGTATATTCAACACAATAACCTAATAAGCCTGTGTAGGCTTATATATAAAGGGTACAAGTCTTGCATAATAACACAAGGTTCCTATTAACTAAATGTAATTACATAATGACCCAACATATATATATAAAACTTCTAACACTCCCCCTCAAGCTGGAGAATATATATCAAATAGTCCCAACTTGAAACAGATAGTTCTTAGCCGATTATGACCCAATGCTTTGGTAAACATATCAGCTAATTGATCTTCAGATTTAACAAATGGAGTAGAGAAGCAATATTTTTTCTCGAATGAAGTGACAATCAACTTTAATATGTTTGGTCCTCTCATGAAACACAGGATTCGATGCAATGTGAACTGCTGCTTGATTATCGCAGAACAATGGAGTAGGAGCTTCAACTGTCAACCCAAGTTCTTTTAGAAAATGTTGTATCCATGTCAACTCGCTAGTGGTATGGGCCATTGCCCTATACTCAGCTTCAGCACTAGATCGAGCTACCACCGTTTGCTTTTTACTTCGCCATATAACTAGATTTCCTCCTACAAATGTGCAGTAGCCTGTAGTAGATCTCCTATCTAAAGGAGAACCGGCCCAGTCGGCATCTGTAAAACCTTCCACCCTGAGATGACCATTTGGTTTATATAGTAACCTAAAACCCGGAGCTTACTTGAGATATCGGAGAATCCGAAGAATAGCAATCCAATATGGCATTTTAGGAGCTCCCATGAACTGACTTACAACACTAACAGCATATGAAATATCAGGTAGAGTGATAGTGAGATAAATTAATTTCCCAACAAGGCGACGAAATCTGCCTGGGTCATTAAATAGATCACCCACATCAGCTACAAGTTTTGTATTTGAATCCATAGGAGTATCAACCGGACGACCACCTAACATACCTGTTTCTTCTAATTAGTCCAACACATACTTTCGTTGGGATAAACTTATACCTATCTTGGATCTAGCAACTTCAATACCCAAGAAATACCTAAGTTTACCCAAGTCTTTAGTGTGGATTCGATATTGCAGAAACAACTTCAACTTAGCAATGCCTTCAGAATCATCACCTGTGATCACAATATCATCTACATGCACCACAAGAATTATGAAGCCAGCTTAGTGCGCTGGTGAAATACCGAATGGTCAGTCTGACACCTGTGAAGACCAAACTTTAATGCTGCCTCAGAGAATTTTCCAAACCAAGCCCGTGGAGATTGTTTCAATCCATACAAGGCCTTTTTAAGGCGACAAACAGTGTGAAGATACTCCCCTTGAGCAACAAACCCAGGTGGTTGCTCCATATAAACCTCTTCTGCTAAGTCACCATGCAAAAAGGCATTTTTAACGTCTAACTGAAACAGAGGCCAATGTCTATTTGCAGTAAGAGAAATCAAAACACGAATAGAAGAAATCTTAGCAACAGGGGCAAACGTCTCATCATAGCCAATACCATAAGTTTGGGTATAACCTTTGGCAACAAGACGGGCTTTTAAACGCTCAACAGACCCATCTGGAAGATACTTCACAGTATATACCCAGCGACAACCAACAGGTTTGGCACCTGGAGGGAATGGAACAAGAGTCCATGTGCCATTCTTATGCAAAGCATCCATTTCATCTTGCATGGCTTTCCTCCAGCCTGAATCAGACAAAGCATCCTGCACAGTCTCAGGAACAAATGTAGTAGACAACTTAGAGGAAAAACATGAGAATGATGGCGACAAGGAATTATAATAGACATAATGAGCAATGGGATGTTTAGTAACACACGAGCGAGGAGCT